ATATTTTCTAATTTTCAACTTTTGGTTAAGTTTAATATTCTGTTTTTTCTTTTCATTTGATAACTAGGAAGTTATTGACCGTTATACAAGAGAAAATGATGCCAGGGTTGCTGCTGAAAGGTCTCAAGCTTCTTTGTCAGAAGAGCTGGGAAAAGCTCAGCAGGAGATAGCGGCTGTTAATGAGAGGGTAATCTTTGTGCCTTAGTATGCTTTGATGTTCTCAATTATTTTGCTATCTTAGTCATTTACTCTGCTAATGTCTCTCTTTAAATTTGGTGAAGCCACTACATTTTATCACTTATTGTAGTGTCTTCTCAAACTCAAAGTTTTACTGAATCCTTCAGGCAGCCTCGCTAGAGAACGCACATAACCGACAGCAAGAATATGTCCTGAGCCTTCAACAGTTCAGTTCCAAGCTCAGCAATGAACTTGAAACGACCCGTGAGTCACTTACCCGGGTAGAAAAAGAGAAATTGACTATAGTACAGAATCTTAGCACTTTAAGGGGTCATTGCAGTTCGTTGCAAGAACAATTATCCTTGTCCAGAGTAAGTTTTCATGTGATGGTATATATTTACTTCCGTATCCTGTTCTTGTTTTTTAAAATTTTCAAATATTACTAATTTCTGTTGTTGTTCCTGCTGCATAATATAATAAATTGTCAAACAAAATTCATGTATCATTTTAACCGGGTTTCATCGGCTTTGGATTTCTTTCCTTTGAAAAAAAACATAGTAATTTGAATTGTTCTTTTATCTTGGAACTTGACCATTTTAAGCTTAGGTTTTCTGGTTGCCCCTCCTTGTTTTTCTTCCTAATTTTGTGTTGCAGTGAAACACTTGGTACTCTTGTGGTATTTGGTGCCTGTATTTTGCATTTAGTGTTATTAAAGCATGCGTAAAAACTTATATTAATGTCTGCCTTTTTTTATGTTTCCCTTTTGATTGTATTGTGTCCCCAGGCTTCACAGGATGAAGCTGTTAGTCAGAAAGAGACGTTACTGAATGAAGTTAGATGCCTCCGCAGTGAGCTGCAACAAGTAAGGGATGACCGTGATCGTCAAGTGATGCAAGTGCAATCCTTAACTGTTGAGATAGTGAAATACAAAGAGTCTACAGGAAAATCCTTTGCTCAGTTGGATAATTTAACAACAAAAACAAAATCGTTGGAGGTTTGTGGGTTGGATTCTTTTCTATCTGAGAAGTTTGTAGGTTGGCAGACTTTGTGACATCTTTTGCTACTCTTTTGCAGGAGACATGTTCCTCCCAGAGGGAGCAAATACGGATTCTAGAGCTTCAGTTAGCTGCAGCGACCGAGAAACTAAAGGTACAGCCGATAGTCAATTTACCGTGTTCTTTTGTAACTACCGTTGTGTTAGCTGCTTAGCACACGAGAATCATGTTTTGTTTTCTCCAGATGGCTGATTTATCAGCTTCAGAAACAAGGACTGAATTTTCAGAGCAAAAGAGGATTATATGTGAATTACAGGATCGTTTGGCAGATGCAGAACGCCAACTTATTGAAGGAGAGAATTTACGGAAAAAGCTGCATAACACTATTTTGGTATGGTTCTAATTTCCCATACATTTTCTTCACATAATGCTGTCGTGGTGCTAAGATGTTGGGAATTGCAGGAACTAAAAGGAAACATCAGAGTGTTCTGTAGAGTGCGGCCATTGCTACCAGATGATGGAGCAGGAACAGAAAGCAGTGTCATCTCTTATCCTGCATCAATGGAATCTCTTGGCCGAGGCATTGACTTGATACAAAGTGGTATAAGATGGGCTATTGCTTTCTTAGAAACAAGGCTTTTGTTTTTGATCTGTGTTTTAACTGCATTTGAGAATGTCAAGACTGATTGTATCATTCTTTTTACTGTTGTCAGGCCAGAAATATCCTTTTACATTTGACAAAGTGTTTCCTCATGAAGCTTCTCAACAAGAAGTTTTTGTAGAAATCTCACAGTTAATACAGAGTGCACTTGATGGATATAAGGTGATTTTTCTATGTTTCTCTCTTTTTATTATTGGCAATTTTGAAAGAAGCTTTTCACAGCACTGTAATTCTGTCAGAGAAGAGGGTAATCAGCAATCTACTTTTCAAAGTTGCTTTACCATTTTTTGGTTTGCATTTGTCTAAAACATGAATTGGGAAATGCTTATCATGTAAATTTCTGAAGTCATCGCATTGCTGTGAAGAGGGATGGATTTCAGTGGTTAAATATTTGATATATGAAAGTTGCCCTTTCATGCAGAGGTAATCTGTATTAATTGAACTTCCTTTTGCTGTTCTGTTTTGCAGGTCTGCATATTTGCTTATGGACAGACAGGTTCTGGTAAGACTTACACTATGATGGGAAGACCAGAAGCACCAGAGGAGAAAGGACTGATTCCACGTTCATTGGAACAGATTTTCCAAAGCAGTCAGTCCCTCCAATTACAGGGATGGAAATACAAAATGCAGGTAAAATAATATGTTGTTTTCCCCATATTTAAGATGGCTAATTACAGTTTTAACCATATTCCTGCAATTTATAGGCCTCAATGTTGGAAATATACAATGAAACCATCCGTGATTTGCTGTCACCTCATCGATTGAGTGGTTCAGACCCAGTGCGCCCAGACAATGGTGTTTCTGGAAAGCAGTACACCATTAAACATGATGCAAATGGGAACACACATGTCAGCGACCTCACTATTGTTGATGTTGGCAGCATAACAGAGATCTCCTCACTTTTACACCAGGCTGCTCAATGCAGGTAATGAGATTTTCACATGTTGAAGTTAAAGAATTGTATTGTTAACTTGATATTCCAATTTGAAATTCAAGGGGTTTTTAAATTGCTTGAAGGTACAAATTATCCTATGGTTCTTTGGACTGTTAGGGTAAAGCATGTGCCAAGCTTTTATCAAACATAGCAGATAGCCTGACTTGTGTTTCACATATGCCACATCCTTTAAGTTTTGCTCTAAATGTCCATATAACTCTAAAGTATTTAATCGTTGTAAGAAATCTTAACTGAATTCTCAGGTCTGTGAGCAAGACTCTAATGAACGAGCACTCCTCAAGAAGCCATATGGTCTTTACGTTGCGAATATCTGGGATAAATGAGGTAGATATCCTCATTATGTTTTGCAAGGATGACATTCATTGATGTGCTATTCTTTCCTGAAATTTGTTTATTGTTTTGTTAGAGCACGGAACAACAAGTGCAGGGTGTCCTAAACCTCATTGACCTTGCTGGAAGTGAGAGACTATCCAGGAGTGGGGCAACTGGCGATCGTTTGAAGGAGACTCAGGTGTCCTTACTGGAAATTTGTTTAATGAGTGGCTTTATTGTTGTTCCTCTAAATATTATTGTGCTCATCCCCTACTTTTTTACAAGCAGGCCATAAATAAAAGTTTGTCATCTTTGAGTGATGTTATATTCGCCCTGGCAAAGAAAGAAGACCATGTACCTTTCAGGAACTCGAAGTTAACATATCTTCTCCAGGTAGTTTGACGAACATAACAAACCTTGACGTGTGTTTTTGGTTCTAATCCCATTTTTTCTTGCCACACTACATAACCTGTTGACCTAATTGTTTTCTCTATAACAGCCATGTCTAGGGGGGGATTCCAAAACCTTGATGTTTGTGAATATATCTCCTGATCCTGCTTCAGTTGGCGAGTCGTTATGCTCTCTCCGATTTGCTGCTAGAGTAAATTCCTGTGAAATTGGAGTTCCTCGGCGCCAAATGACTCTGCGACCTGCAGATTCCCGATTGAGCTGCGGCTAAAATCTTGTTTTGTAGTAAAAGCAACAAAACAGGGTTCTAGTGTGTGTAATAACAGTGCTTTTGGATATACATACAATGATTTGTAGAGCTGCTGCTCTGAGTTACTAATTTGTATTCTTAGATTTATGTTGTTATTGGTTCCTGATTCTTGACAGGACAATGGATTTGGCTATGAGCCTCATGCTGTATGAGAAGATTCATCATTTGATGAATGCACAGAAACAAAGAATCATTATGTTTTGTTAGCCTATTTATACTACCAGACCAGCACTTTGCTTGTTTTGTAGTTATATTCTTCAACATATTCTAGTTTTTTTTCTTTAGAAAGGTAATTACTGTCAGTCTGTCCTTTTAATTGTTTATTTTTGTAGGATTTTATTCCTAAATTTCTGTGGATGCTAGTTGTTTTGCGGCCAATAACATTCATTTAAAAGAAACCAGAAAAAGGAAAGAAAATGGAATGAGTTCTTCTGTGTGCGTGGTTTTTTCCCTTGTTTGAGAGGACGAATAAAATTAAGACAACGACATATCTCGTCTCGTTTTTTTCTTCTTTTTTTTCTAACTTTGGGGGGATCTAGAAGAGAGGAGAACCTCAATAATCAAAGGAATAAGTAATTAATTTCAAAAAATAAAGGCATTATCTAATTTAATATAAAAAATTGATTTTCTCGAGGTCCTAATTTGTCATTTTATCTCTTAATTAAGAGAGCCCCACTTTAAATCTCTTTCTGTTTTTTCTAATCTGGTCCTCCCAGTCCCAGCAAATGCAAGAGTGGGACAAAACACTGCGGCTGTTGCTTTGTTGACTTGAGGAAGAAGAGGAAGAAGAAGATGGAAGAAGTGCAAGAGCAGCAGAACAAGTCCAGAGTCGTCAAGGTTGACTCTGTTGAATCATGGGATTTCTATGTTGGCCAAGCCTCAAATCAGGGCTGCCCGGTATGATTTTCAACTCTTCTGCTTTGGGTTTCTGTTTTGTTTTTTGTTAGATTCATTCCCAATTCCACTACTCTTTCCTCTGTGGCTTTTGATCACCATCTTGCTCCTTGAAGACCCATGTTAGGATTTCAATGTTCTTATATGATCACCATGAAAGTTTTCTTTTTTAATGATGAATTGAAGACTAATGTTATATGATGTTGTGTTTTGCACTTGGGGTGCTAGATTGTTTCACACTTTACAGCTTCATGGTGCATGCCTTCGGTGGCTATGAACCCATTTTTTGAAGAACTGGCCTTAGCTTACCCAGATGTTCTGTTTATCACTGTTGATGTGGATGAAGTTAAGGTAATCCATCCATTCCTGGAAGTAAGAAATCTTATTTATGATATCCCTTGCTTTTCTTGTGATTTTGGCTCAAAGAAACGTTCTTGATGCACATTTGACCAATTTGTTGTGATATTACTCCACATATATGAAGTTAAGATGTGAGATTATGTATTAAAAATGGAGAAATGTGCCTTATTCTTTGCAAGAATATCTGATTTTGTTGACTGTAGCTTGATTTGGATGAAGATATGTAAAAGGTCTAGAACCTTCTTCAGAAAGGTGTGACTTTGCTTGTAGCGTCTACAATTGCGGCCCAGCTAGATCACATTTGAAAGAAAGGATAAGCATCATCCTGATAAGGATGATCCTGTTTTTTTACATGACCCTTTGCACCGTGGGGCTAGCTAAGATGAATTATGTTGTCTTATGCAATTTGTTGGCTTATCCCTTGGTATCAGGAATTAAGTTTGTACCCCTACTTTATGTAAGCTATGTGAAATTGCCACATTCATGATGCTTTGAGCATGATGAAAGAACTAGTATGGAAAAATTTTCATTTTTCAAACACATTTATCCCTGACATGGAAATTTGCTAGGTAAAAAGATATAAGAAGATGATATGGTAGCTGACTTTGACATATGGTTGCAATTAATTGGCTTTAGATTTCAACTTTAAGGCTGATTTTGGCACCTCTCTTCTTTTGAAAGAAATTGGGACAGCTTGAAACTATCGTGACTGTCTATTTGCTTTGGTGGAGTTAATAAAATTTGAACTTAAACAGACACCATTTCTGTTCTTTTACTTTGCACTTTGCAGATTTGTTGTGATAGTTTATTTCAATTGTCTTAATGTGTGCATGTGTTCTAATTCCATTTTTGCTATAGAAAATAACAATATACAAGACCCATTTGCTTTTCCAAGATGCTTTAATCTCCTCAAGGTAATGACTTGGAATTGCTTTTCTGGTGTTTGGTTTGAGTAGGAGGTAGCAACAAGGCTGGAGGTGAAGGCCATGCCCACTTTTGTGATAATGAGGGGAGGTGCTGTTGTTGACAAGGTTGTGGGTGCTAATACAGAAGAGATTAAGAAAAGGATTAATGGTTTTGTTCAGTCGATTCGTGTAAATGTCGCCTAGTTTGAGTGGTTGTAATTCTGTGCATTTTGGAAACATGTAAACTACATGGTTGCCATGCTATAGCATTGGGCAACAGGTGTGATAATTTGCATCTCATAAGCTTGTGGTTCCCAACTCTAAACATTTATGTAACAACCGTTTTTATCAATGCTTGTAGTAACTCCTTTGTTTGGTGTAGCCTATGTTTAGGCTCAAGCTTAGCTTGATGATAAAATGGTATAATTTTGAGTTTGGTTCCTTGACAAAACTCTAGTTTAATCCAAGTATTTCCTCCACCCCGCGCCCCCCCCCCCCCAAAAAAAAAAAAAAAAAAACCCACCTTGTTTCCACCGAAAGAGTAATGCTATAGGGATCGATTGGTTCCCATGGCTATATATATTTTTAAAAAATTTATAGGTATAATAAATTTTTATTTTAATTTTTAAGTCTTGTGACATTAATTTTTAAGTTATTAAATCTTAACTTTAAATATTAAATTCTAAAATCTAATAATATAAATCCAAACTTTAAAAATTTAAATTTTAGCACTTAAAATTTAAATTCTAACAAACCCATTAAAATGTAAATTTTAAAAATTTTAAAACCTAACACTTAGTAAACTCTAAAAAATCTAAATCTTAACATCCTAAGTATTGAAATTTAAAATAATCTAAGTCCTAACATGCTTACAATTAAAATTTAAATAAGGTTTAAAAACTAAAATATAGTTAAAAAAAATTGAGAGACTAAAATGGGTTTCAATTGCTAAATTAAGGGACCAATTCTTAGTTTGATCATAACGAAGACAAAAAGAAATTAACGGATCTGGGGCTGCCACGTACCATTCGGCCTCCTAGTAATTATCCCCCTATTTGGGATGTGGCAGGTGGTCCTAACTTCAGAAAATTTACTAAAAGCCCCAATACTCAATTTCATTATATGTTACTGATACAATAGGAGAGCCCTAATATTTCAAAATGGGTTTTATAATTGTTTTTTTATTTAAAAATTTATTTATAATATTATATATATTTTTTTAATAATATAAAGTAATTATTAAATGACACATAATAATTATTTTATTTTATCTTGATTGCATAATAAAAAATAATTATTTGTTCATCTCTTATCTTTTATCCAATCTCATTCGCATACTATATGATTCAAACTCAAAATTTTTTATTTTCAAGGAAAAAAATTATTAAACTATTTAAATTGATGAAACACACATAATAATTATAAAATTACAATATTACATTAAAATTGTAATAGTAATATGGCATTTTGACATTGTGGTATTCCAACCTTAGGGTGGGGTAGTGGCGGAGTAGAATGTGGACTCTCTTCTACCAATCATAAGCATATTCTCTTCCACTTTTCCCCAATCACAGTCTCCATCCAACACCCAACTCAACCAAATTCACTCATTTCATATCTGTTTTTCCATTCGCCAAATCACAGCGCCCCATTGAGTTCTGCCAAGAGGGAGAGGATAGGAAAACGTGAACTTTCTGTTCTGGGGTGTCTGAAAGTCTGAAACTTTACCGGAAAGTTGATGTCTCGGCAACTAGACGGTGAGTTTATGGGTTCCCCTGAAAGTCCCACTACTTGGGTTTTCGATGATTATGGGTTGCTAGAAGACGTTGCCGTCCCTGGTGGTGACTTACCTTCCCTTGAAGCTCCCGGGGCTCTTTGGTCCTCTCATTCACTCGCCTGCTCCACTCCTCCCAGGTCAGGTTCTAGATGTTTATTTGCAATGTAGTGTGCTAAAGGTTATTTGAATTGATGTTAGTTCTGTATAATGCTGTTTTGGTATGGGCTTTGTTTTATATTTTTTTAGCAGCTAGATAACAAATCCTAGTTGCTACATGATTTTGTTACTTGGATTACAAATGAGGCTGAATGAGCTGAAAGGTCCGTTATCAAGAGTAATGATTAGTGATTCTTATACAAGTTCATCGCCTTAATCCAAATAATTTTTTATTTCATAAATTAACAAAAATTAAACTTCAACTGGGTGAATTTGAAGCTTGACACTGAAATGCATGGTTTTTATATGAATATGTTATGACTGGCGCTAATGTACAAGCATCTTAGCCCCAGTCAAGTCCCCAACCAAGTGCTGGGTTTCATCTCCCAACCCACATTTTTTAACTTTTCAAAATATGTTATCACTATGCTAAAGGTCCAGCTTGAGATCAAGTTTGAGTCTTTGGAGCCAAACCCTTGGCAACTTAGGCATTCAAGCTCAAGCTTGATTTGAAAAGTGAAATTAGCTTTTCTCATTTGCACTCTTATATCCTTTCTGTTATTCTTACAATTCTTTGGTTAATAACCTGGCCTTTACAAACCTTCAGCTACAATAACTTGTCAATTATGTGTGCTAATGTGTTTCTCTCTTTATTTTCAGTGGAAGATTTGACGAGTCATTTGGGAATTCCAGTAATCTTAATGAAACTGGCTCCCGTAAACGGTATAAAATGATTCATAAACTAGTGGAGTTAATGAATTTTTTTATCTTCCTCTTTGATTTGCTTAGTGACTATACTACAGGGCAAGGTCTGGATCATGTAGTGTGTCTGGCTCCAAAGCCTGCAAAGAGAAAATGCGTAGGGATAGGTTAAATGACAGGCATGCTTTGTTGCTTTAATTGCTGTCTCTATCGCACTCATTCACTTTCTGCCTCTGATATTGACACTGGCAATGTCTCAGATTCCTAGAATTGGGTTCAATCCTAGATCCAGGAAGGCCTCTAAAAGTTGACAAGGCCATTATACTGGTTGATGCTGTTCGAATAGTAACACAATTAAGGGATGAAGCCCAGAAGCTGAGGGACTCAAATCAGAGTCTGCAGGAGAAGATCAATGAGTTGAAGGTATCCGTGCAGTTTGATGTTCAGTTTTTCATCATTTTAGAAATTCTACTTAATGCACCAATTAAACCTCATTTATCTGTGAGAAAAAGAATGTGCGTTTTTAATTCTTCCTGGTTGTTTTGATTTTTTGAATTGAATTTGGTTTTGCAGGCCGAAAAGAATGAACTTCGTGATGAGAAGCAGAGGCTAAAGACTGAGAAAGAGAATCTTAAACAACAAGTTAAAGCCTTGAGTTCTCAGCCAGGATTCCTACCTCACCTTCCCATACCAGCTCCATTTGCCACCCCAAGCCAAGTTGTAGGTGGCAAGTTGGTACCTTTTGTTGGCTATCCTGGAGTTTCCATGTGGCAGTTCATGCCTCCTGCTGCTGTCGATACATCACAGGATCATGTGCTCCGCCCTCCAGTAGCATAATCTGGCGTGCTGTTAGTTGTCTGCCTTTTCTTACGCAAAGAACTTTTGTCCATGGAGATTCTTGCCATAAATTTTGGCAGTTTTGCTTCTTGAATTTTCTCTCCCCTTGTCTTGCCCCTTGGAAGAGTGTGATACATCAGGCTATGTCATCGGCAAACTTTAAGCCTTCTTTGTTGATTGCTTTAGCAACTTGTTATTCCTGTTAACCAAGTTGGGTGATTAAGTCACGCCAGAGTTGGGAAGCTTATATTATGCAGAGGCAGATTGTATTAATTTACTGTCAAATAATTGCAATCTATATGTTAATGCTAAGTTTTTATGATGAAATTCTATTGGCTTTATTTTCTCGTGGTCTGACTGTGTTGCATCCTTCTATATTCTCTGATACATAATGAATGCTAGAGCAGATAAACTTGTCCTGCCCAAATGCCAGGTTTTCTGTCAGCAACTTTATTTCTGTTACTCTACTACTACATTTCAACTGTCGTTAAAATGTAGTTCAGTGTCGAACTAATTTAGAAAGCTGACTTCAACAGGGTGGTTTGAATCCCATATACTTCCCTGATATATAGTCATCCCAGACATCCAGTGCTCCAAAGCTTGTCATCAGAACAGTACTCAGCCCCATCACTATTCCGACTGAGAATACAATGACGGATGCCCTCCCAAATTCTTGTATTACTTTCTGCACGATGAGCAGACCAAGAAGGGATGCAATGAAACAGATGATGGAAAATATGAGAGCTGTACCAGTGTGCTCCATGCCCAGAAGTAAGTACTGGAATGCAGACATTGTAGATGAAAATAACACCATGAAAGAACAAGTTGCTGCTGTTACCTGCACCAGATGATAAAAGAAAGGTTTAGATCAAATAGAATTACTAATATCGAGCTCTCCAAAAAAAAAAAAAAAAAACAGAACATACCTCCGGAGCTATCCCAACCTGAAGGAGAAGTGGGCTTATGAGCATTCCACCTCCAATTCCAAAAATCCCACCTAAGATCCCTGCTAACAGGGCCATTAATGGGAAAATAAGCTCTTTAAACGATCCATTTTGTGCAAAGTCTCCTATGCCCTTCACCAAAAAACAAGGAAGAATCCTTTAGGGAACTTTGCCTTAAATCCAAGTTGGAAAATGCATGACAGTTTTATAGTTAATCTTATAATGATCTGTTGTGAACCTGTTGCACAGGAACTTGGAATGGGAGTCTCTTTCTCCCATGGAGGATACAAGCTGTAAAAGCTATGGCAAGAGGAATCTGAAACAATGAGAGAACCCAATATGCCCATCCACAAGGCTTCATTCTGGTAATACCCTGCATCAGCTTTGAACCGTCACAAATCTAGAACACAAATTGGATTTAATTAACATTGAAATCAGATTACTTATAAGAAGATATAATAAACTACATTAAAAATTTTTCCTCAATTTTCCCTGTTTTTTAAGGGTTCCAAGAAAACATAAACTATATTTAGGTCTATATTTTGATTGTCTTCTTATGAACGGCATGAAAATGACAGGAAAGCATGCAGGATATAACATTGTTAATGCTCTGTCAATGTCAAATACTTGGCCAATGCTAACTTGCTGCTGCTGGGTGATTCTGCTTTACGAGTAAGTCCATATTCAAGTTACTTTCATTGCATTTCACTTTTTTCAATTTGGGTTGGTGTAAGGAAATAAAAATTCAAACGTGGGTCATTAACAGTTCCATAAAGTTAAAAAATAAATCGAGTCTAGATTAATCACAGTATATGCGGCATAATCCTGTTCTAAAACCCAAAACCAGGAACATATTTTGTTCATCACAAAAAGGCCAGAAGGTGATCTCTCTCGGACCAAGAAGATAGGATAAATTCCCAAAGCAAAAAAGTGACAGATTCTGCAGCTACCACTTTTTCCCTTGATGAAATAGAAAGATCATGTAAAGCATGTACACAAAGCTGGATAAGAGAACATGTTGTAGCATTAAATTTTGCAGGATTCAGAAAGAGGCGAGCCTCACTGCGGATAACTTGCAGTTAGAGAAAAAACACAACCAGAAAAGGATTGAAATTGAAAAAGATCTCAAAATCACAGTAAACATGGAGGAGGACAGCTTTAAACTCTCTTAAAGAGAATAGAACAAATGAGAGAAACATGAATTGTACCTGACCATAGCGATTTCCACGAAGAAGATATAGAAGAAAGAAGGAAAACCAGATCATGAGTAAGACCCCCAGTTTCATCCATGGGAATCTGGACTTTTCACTTCCTTCCATCCTGCACAAAGGCTCTTTGAGACTCTTGATTCCTTCTCCAGTCTCACCACAAGTTCCATCTCCACTCACCCCATCTTCCAATTCTGCATTCGCACTTCTCCTCACTGTTTCTGATTCAATTTTCCAGTAGAAAATCCCATTTCTGAGGGTCTTAAAGGTGGACAAAGCAAGCAAAATGGCAAATAGAATAGTGATCAACCACTCAGGGAAGACAAGGTTGCAGATGACTCCTATGCTCACTCCTAGCAACATACTAGGCTCTGATAAAAGGGCTATGTCATAATCAATCAAACACTTGCCACCAAACTTTTCACTTGTGGTGCACAAGTTGTATATAACATTTGCAACGGAGCCTCCTGTGACCATAAAAGCTGAGAAACTTGAGGCAGTTTTGAGGTCTAGACCTCCCACAATAGTCAGCATGGGGATAAACAACCCTCCACCACCAACCCCACCTGCGCTGGATATAGAGGCAGCTATGAAGCAGAACAGTCCTGCTAACAAAACAGGAGCTGCTGGTTTCAGTGCTGTTTCCTGGTATTGTAGCCTTTGACTCCTCCGTTGGCCAAGCATTTTGGCTAAGTAGTGATGAATTGTGACATTATCTGATGTAACTTGTGTCTATTCTGGATGGGATTGGGTTTGGCTGAGGGTAACAAAAATGGAAAAGATGACAATAACCCATCTCAG